ATTCTAGGCAGGGGCTCTGAACCTGAGTCACCCTCACCCCTGTACAGGATTTGTAAGTAGAATACAGAACAAAATGCACCAATTTTTACAAGCACAAGCTCATTAATTTTTCCAAAGGTAATGCATTATTCATCATATCTAAAAGGCTCTAGTACTGACGTCACCAAGCCAGGATCAGTGGTAATTTTTAGCAATAAAAGTTTAAGCATAGCTGAGTGTAATGGTACATCTCTCTAATCCCATCATTCAGGAGACAAGCGGATTTCTGTGAGCTTCAAGTCAGAAGTACTTAGTGAGACCTTGTCTTTAAAAAAAAAAAGTACTGTGGGTAATCGGAGTTCAGAAAACAACTTGGCAAGTCTCTCCCACCTTACTTGGGATCCAGGGGCCAAGCTTAGCATTGTCTGGAACTGGAGTTAGAGATGGTTGTGAAGCAGCTGGGAGGAGCCCAGGCTCGCTAGGGCATCCAGTGCTCTAACTGCTGACAGCTCTCCAGCCCTGTTACTATTCACACGTTTGTTTAAACTGATTACTTTATGTGTAAGAATGTTTCGTCTGCGTGTATGTGTCACATGCATGCTTGGTACCGGGGTCAGAGGAGGGCATCTGATCCCATAGGGCGTTAGGGATGGTTGTGAGCCACCAATGGGCGTGCTGGGACTTAAACCCGAGTCCTCTGCAAGAGCAGCAAGTGCTAGTAACTGGTGAGGCATCTTTCCATCCCCTATAATTATCTGCCTATGTGAGTGTGCACCATAAGTGTGCAAGTGACCACAGAGGTCAGGCGTTACATCCCCGGGAACTGGAGTTACAGTTGTGAGCTTCCATGTGGATGCTGGGAATGGAACCTGTCTTGTGAAGAGCATAGCGCTCCCAAGAACTGAGCCACACTTCCAGGCCCCCTCTCCTCCCATGCGGGTCCCAGGGAGGGAACTCATCCTTTGCAGCAGGTACCTGTACCCCCTGAGCTGTCTTACCAGCTCACAATTTCTTTTTTGTTTTTGAGACAGGGTTATGTGTATGGGGGGCCTTGTCTGTCCTAGAACTTGGTCTGTAGATCAGGCTGGTCTCGAAGTCAGAGATCTGTCTCCTAAGTCCTGGGATTAAAGGTGTCACCACCACTGCCTGGCCACAATGATTTCTGATAGTAAAGTTCAGTGAAATCTAAACTTGACTTTGGTGTTGATATCATTTTCGTATTTAGTCAAAATATTAACAATGTTTTTGGAGATATGCTTCACTATGTAGCACTGGCTGACTTGAATCTCACTATGTAGACCAGGCTGGGATCTAGAGTGCCAGGATTAAAGATGTATGGCCCAGGTTGGCCTTTAGCTCATGGTTCTTCCTGTGTCTGGGTGAGAACCTCGAAGTTGCTTCCCAAATGCTGAAACTAAGGGCGTGTGACAATACACCTGGTATTATTACTCAGACTCTAGGTCAATACATTTGACACTATTTTATTGCCACAAAATGTGTTCTGGAGTGACAGTTACTTCTTCTTGGCTTTCCCTCAGGACTCATGGGAGTGTTAGTTGTCATGGAGGGACCACTGGGAAGGTCACAGCAAGTGGACACGCACGTGTGCGCACATATATACCCACATACACACACGCACACACACACACACCACAGCTAGGGACATTAAGATAGTATTGCATCACAATACTTTTGCCTTCAAAGGGTAGAGAATGCTACAGGGCAATCCATTTCTGAGACGGTTAGGCCCGATGGCTCTGGGTGACAGAGAATGTCTTTTTTTTTTGTTTTTTGTTTTTTGTTTTTTTTCTGAGACAGGGTTTCTCTGTATAGCCTTGGCTGTCCTGGAACTCACTCTGTAGACCAGGCTGGCTTTGAACTCAGAAATCCACCTGCCTCTGCCTCCCAAGTGCTGGGATTAAAGGCGTGCGCCACCACTGCCCGGCGAGAATGTCATTCTTTGAATGGGGGACAGGACGGAGGGAGATTTGTGGACACATTTGTATATAAGCACATGCACTCCAGCAATGAGGCTCCTAACAGCCTCTCCAGGAAGGAGACAGGGACCCCTAGATTCCCAGAGTGCGTAAACAGCCCACCCCTAGAGCCCAGTCCATCTCTCCTGCTCTCAAGACCCCGGTGGCTTCCAATGTGAAGTCACCAGGGCACAGAAAGTTCCTCCCGATCTTCACATGACAGATTCCTTTTCACAGGTGGCACCGGAGTCCCCGGCAGGTCCCCGGTACTGTTTCAGGAGGGGGTTCCCCTCCTCTGTGGTGAGGGGCAGTGGATTCAGAGACACCTCATTCTTCACCTGGATCAGTTCAGGCTCTGAGCTTGGCATCTTGGTACGATCCACATAACTCTGAAGCAATCCGGCCCCAAAAGCATCACCTTCCACGTTGAGCACAGTACAGGACCTGTCCCTGAAAGGGGGCACACAGCAATAATGTGAAATGGAAGGAAGAGGGGACAGCAGGCCAGGGCCCAGGTGGCCTGCCTTCGCGCACCAAAGAGCTGCTTTAGGAGACAGAGTCTCTCTACATAGCTGTCCTGGAACTCAGTACATAAACCAGGCTGGCTTCAAACTCAGATTCTCCTGCCTCAGCCTCCCAAGTACTGGAATTAAAGATGTGCAGCATCACACCTGACTTCCTTACTTTTTGTGACAGCATCTCTCACTGGACACGATCATCAATCAGCTAAACTGGCTGGCCAACGAACTCCAAGATCCATCTGTCTGCCAAGTCTAGATGTCATAGAGGTGTCAGAGATCCAAGTCCTCATCCTTGTGTAGCAGGCACTTTACTGCCTCCCCATTGTACAGATGGGAAAACTGAGACACAGGAGGATTGAGTCACATAGCTAGAATAGAACCATGCTTAAGCTGCCCGACCTAGGAGTCATGATCACAAGCTGCAATGGCTCACTGCCTTCCTTACAAGACTCCAGAGACTGGCTAGGCGTAGCACGTGATGCACGCATGTATCTCTACTACCATGGAGTCCGAGGCAGAAGACTTTGAGGCTGGCCTGGACTACAAGGCAAATGCCAGGACGGCCTGGGTTATATCATGAGATCCAGTGTCAAACAAAACAAAACATAAAACAAAAGACACACCCCAAAGCAAACAAAAACTAGAATGGTCAAACGGGTGCTTATTGTCCAAGACTGGAGGCCTAAGATTGATCTCCAGAACCCACACAAAGGTGGAAAAGAAACCAACCAGATCACGAAACATGCCCCGTCCCGTCATGAACACACAGATAATAATACATAAATTAAAAATAAACAACCAAGCCTGGTTGTATAGGCGTTTAATACCAGTACTGGGTTAGCAGAGGCAAGAGAATCACTGAGTTTGAAGCCAGCCTGGTCTACATAGTAAATTCTGGGCTAGCCAGGGCTTTATTGTGAGACCCTGTTTTTTGTTTTTGTTTTTTTAAAAAATAAGAGATAGAACCCCTGAGTTGCTAACTATCCCTATGTATAGGAGGATTAAGTTCTCACATGTTCCCTCTAGACCTGTCTTGTCTTTCTTACTGTGTGCAGGGGTCCTCATGCCCTTTCCTGGGAGATTCCTCAGTCCCCCAAACTCCCAAGACCCCACTCACACTAGCCAGTCCACGGCCAAGATGAAGGAGATATCCTTGACCGGGAGGCTGACTGCTTCCAGGATGATGGCGAGGGTCAGGACGCCCCCTGCAGGAATACCTGCGGCCCCGACACTGGACGCAGTGGCTGTGACCCTGGGGGAGAGAAGGAAAAAGGTGAGGTAGCAGAATCATTGGGGGAGCGGGGAGGGGGGAACTCCTGCCGCGGCACCCAGCACTCACAGGATGGTGATGATCTTCACGAAGTCCAGGGACACCCCATTTAGTTGTGCGATGAACACCGCCGCCACACACTGGAACAGCGCCGCCCCGTCCATGTTGACCGTGGCGCCGATGGGCAGGATGAACCGGCTGATGTGTTTGGCCACGCCATTCTTCTCCTCTACACACTTCATCATCAGGGGCAATGTGGCAGAGCTGATGGAGGACATCACACTGAGCGAGGCTGGGCGAGCACTCCGGAACCAGCACTCCTGGACCACAAAGGCTAGGTCCGCTCACCCAACAGCAGCACCGGGACACCCCAGATGAAGCAGTCACGGACGCTCAACCCTACCCACATCATCCGGAGTCCCCGCCCACCTGCCCACATCTCCTTTTCTCACACTCCCTGAGCTTCTAGCTCTCTAATGTCCTTCCCTTCTCAAAGCAGCAGGCTCCCAGGATCCTGCTGAAACAGAGGGATCATGAACAGTACTGGGAGTGTAGTATGCTACCTCTGCAAACACCCACAGAAAGCTGAATGTACTGACATGACCTTGTAAATACCTGGGAGGCTGAGGACCACGTTTCTTTAAGTGCATGTGGGTTTTTTTGTTTTCTTTGAGACAAGGTCTCACTATGTATGCAGCTAGGGCTGGCCTAGAACTTGCTACGTAGACCAGGCTGGCTTAAATAGAGATCACACCCACCTATTACTTACTCCCAAGTGCTGGGATTAAAACACCACCTGGCCCAGCAAGGATTCCAAATTTGAGAACAGCCAAGGCTAACCCAGTGAGACCTTGTCTCAAAATGAAGTGGGCTGGATTGTAGGTCAGTGGTTAAGCCTGTGGCTAGAACCCACCAATGGGGGCCGATGGGTGTGACTTTGTGGTAGGGCTCATCCTTAGCGCACGCCAAAGCACCAACAAAACAGAAAAAAAAAAAAGTGGTCTTAGGTGTTTGCAGCATGCCTGAGTTCAACCCCTTTAATCCCAGCACTCTGGCGGCAGAGGCAAGTGGATCTCTGGGAGTTCAAGGCCAGCTGGGTCTACAGAGCGAGTTCCAGGACAGGCAGAGCTGCATAGAGAAACCTTGTCTTGGCAAACAAAAACAGCTGGGGAGATGGCTGTAGTTGTACAAACATGAAGACCAGAGTTTAATTCCCCATACCTACCTAAGAGGCAGACATAGTACAATGCTCATAATCCTTAATACCCCTACTGAGAGACGGGAGAAAGGGATCCCAGAAACACACAGGAGAAACAAAGGCAATCTCAAACAGGTAGGAGGTGAGGAGGGACACCTGCAGGTGTCCTCTGACTTACACACACACACACACACACACACACACACACACACACACAGAGCACTGTGAGCTCACACACGATGAAAAGAAAAAAAAACAGAAAGAAAAAGAAGACTAAGTCAATAGCTGTCTCATTTTTTGCAAGGGCAGTGCAATCCAGGACCCCAGGACACTGATAAAGGAAGCTGGAAAGATGGCTCAGTGGTTAAGAGTGGTGGTGGCTGCTCTTCCTGAGGACCTGGGTTCAATCTCCAGCACCCACATGGTGGCTCACAGTGTTAACTACAGACCCAGGAGAAATCAAACACCTGGCCTCTGTAGGCACTTTGACACACTGAAGTCATACATTCAGGTAAAACACTGATACACATAAAATAAAGAAAATAAAGGTTAAGAAAGAAAAGAAAAACTGACAATAATGTAAAATAAAATAAAATAAAAAATAAAGACGCCTGTGTCCACATCAAATGACTCCAGTCGTAATACAGGTCTTCAAACACCAATACCCACTACTCCCAGTTCCCTTTGTTACATCTGGTAACAGGGCTCACCTAGAAGAGGTGCCGAAAGCTGTGGCCAGGGGCGTCATGATGCCCCACAGGAATCGATAGGGGTTTTTGCGGGTGAAGAGGAAGTAGATAAGTGGAAGAACCAGGAGCCCGTGGATGGCGTGGCCCAGCAGGCAGCACAGGATGTATTTGCCGAGGCTGATGAAGAGCTGGCCGACGTCTTTCATCTCCACAATCTTGCTGGCCACCAGGAACAATATGCCAACGGGGGCGTACCTGATCATCACAGAGACAGATTGCTGTCCGCTGATCATGGGACTGTCAAGGCCACGCCCTGTGCGCAGCACTTCAGCTGACCGCACTTCCCAACCTTCCCTAGAAGTCTGGACTTACCCAGAGCACCATTCCAAGACTGTCTGCTGAGAGCCTCGGATAATTGTAGCCGTGAAGATTGCACAGGTAGAAAATAAAAGCCCGCGCATGCGCACACGTTCCCATCCCTACCAGAACAGCGACCTCAGATGTAGACTTGACAGTGAATTAGAGAAAGAAGCACCCACCACTGAGTCATTTGCTTTCTGGTTTTGCTTGTTAAAGCAGTTGCAGTCACTCTCAGTTTATCTATCTATCTATCTATCTATCTATCCATCCATCCATCTATCTAGTGTGATAGTGTGCCTGGGTCACTCTAACTCTCAGGTCTGTGGCACTTGCAAGCCTTTGATCATGGCTGACTGACAGCCCACCACACACTTAGGAAGTTAAGCTATGAGGACGGAAAGTTCAAGGCCAGGGGCTGGAGATGGATGGCTCAGCAGATAAGAGCACTGGCTACTTTTCTACAGGATCTAGGTTCAGTTGGTGGCCCAGAACAGCCTGGAACTCCAGTTCCAGGGGATCTGGTGCTCTCTTCTGACATCCACAGGCACTGAATACACGTGGTGCACAGACACACATATAGGCCAAACACTTATCCACATAAAATGTATATACATACCCACACACACATACATACCTTCATATTATATGTATGTATTATATATATGAATAAATAATTCAAGGCAATAAAACCCTGTCTTAGAAAATAAAAGGACAGGTATGGCTCAGCGGTAGAGGCCCTGCCTAGAACCCCCCAGCTAAGCAGTGTGGCACAATGGTAGCTCCTGATCGAAGTCCTGATTTTAATCTTCACCACAGAATAAATAAAGAAAACACCAACCAGGCATGGTAATGCTACTAACCTCCAGGAATTGCCACAGGATGAAGCGAGACACTAGCTGAGAGGCATTTGTACACAGTTCCATTTCTTGTACAACAACCCTCCCTGTGTCCTAGAGCAAAGACTCCCATGATGCACTTGCTGTTAGCCAGGTTTCCCAATACCCTCCTGTCTTGCGGCCACGTCTGATTGTCTCCTCAGTTCCTTGTCCTTTACACAAAAGAAAGCCACCGGTTCCCAGCCACCTGTGCAATAAGGGAGGGCCAATTGGCCAAGTCCCAGACACTCAGACGTGCCCAGGAATTTTATAAGCACAAATGCTTAAATAAATATTTGCCATTGTTTACTCTGAGCATGGGACAGAGCAGGCATTGGCCTGAGAACGTGAATTAACCCTTTTGTGACCTCTGGAGCAGCTGTCACGGCAGGCACCATTTTCTGCAGAGAAAAACTGATGCATAGGAAGTTAAGTCTAACTTAGAGCAGCACAAAGAGCTAGG